GGATCTTGAATTCTTGAGCATTGATTTGTTTGAGAAAGTAGCAAAGACTATGATCTTGCAGAAACTAGATCATGAGACGATATGTTCTTTCCTTAATTACTATCGAAGGATGAAATTTAGGAGTCTTTCATTGTCAGAGAAGCGTAAATTTATTGATTTTCTGATCAATTTTCTGTGTTCACTAGATGGAAGCTTCTTTTCTTTCAGAAGTCTATGTAACATGCTTCAAGCATCCTTTTCCTTAAAAATCACAAAAAGTTCCATGAAGAAATTAGAATGTCTGATTGGTTCTAGGTTGGATGAAGCTACACTGGACGATTTACTAGTCCCATCTCGACCCAAAAAGAGCCATGCTTACGACGTCAATTTAGTCATCAGATTCTTGAAAATATTTCTCGAAGAAAGCAGGAAAAATTTAGCCATAAGTCTTTTGAAGAAAGTTTCTCGTTTGATGGATTTGTACATCGCACAAGTCGCTCCTGATCCTCAGCTTAAACCTTCCAAGTTTCGCGCATTAGTCTTCGCCCTGCCTGATTCTGTGAGAGACTCTCATGACAGACTTTATGAAGCAATGGACATGTATTTTCTGGTATGATTTCCATTTACAATTCTATATTTCTTAGAATGCTGATTCTGCATTTCATTTGTCTTCGAGTGGACATGGGCGCGGCCCAAATTTTATGCGGCCGACCCCAAAATAACCGGTCTAATTGGACTGACTTTTTTGTTTTTTTTCAGGCTCAGAACTATCTATGTGAAGAAGAGAAAATAAAAATCTGTTGCGCACTGAATTGCGACAAGTTATCATTGGATTCTCTTATACATTTATCCCATAATGAAAATTTTCCAGCGAAGGTGAAGAAATGTAGGAAAAAGCAGGTGAAAGCAGCAAATGCTAAGAAATTTGATGTAAACTCTTCAAACAATGGCAGATCATTGCCTAGACTTTGTTCATGATATAAACTATATTGTCACTGACAATCTTCTACTTAACTGAATTTTTACAATTGGCTAGTGCTGTTTGAAAATCTACTTGTTCTAGGATTAGCATTGAATCTTCTTCACAGAAAATCGAACGGAGGGCTGTAAAGGATTTGTGTAAATGGCCAACCTGATATTTATTGAGAAAATGCTTAATTGGTTGTTGTCGTGCCTTTTCCTTAAAAAATTAATTAGTTTTTTATGATTCTTTTTTAAAGACCATCAAAGTTGTTCGAAAAACACATTTTTCGGTGACTCGTTGAGATTGTGACACGTGGACGCTCATGATGAAAGCATCTCAACATTCACGAGGCCAAACCATATTTGGGATGTAGTTATAAATGGTTTGAATTATAAATGGATAAAGATACAAAAGTAAATAGTATTTTAGAATCTCTCGAAAGTATATATAAAAATTGAAACATGATTCAAATATCAGCTCAACTCGTACAACCATAATTTTAGAGGAGTTGAAAACTTGAAATTTTGAGTCACGATTTAAAACATGCTTTTATATTTTTCTCGCATATTATGTACGTTCAATCGTTAAATAAAACTTGAATATAGTAACTTGGGAGGGATACTACGTCCGAAGAAGTTCAACTTCCGTAACTGATTTCATTTATGTTTAAAATTAAGCATAAGTGACTCACTCCCTTAAAGCAAAACTAACTTCTTTTTCTTTATTTACATCGCCAACTTTTTTAAACATTGACAAATACATCCTATAAGTTTCTTGTATGATAAACAAGTGATGCTAGTTATTAATTCCCTGTATGAGTCGCATTCATTCAAAAAAAAAAAACATCCTTAAACAATAATTTGACATTATTTCAACAACATATTTTTCAATAAAATAATATTACACGCAAATCTAAATTTTTTCTTATTTTTTAACTACACATTCTTCATTAATACATTATTCCAAAATACATTCTTTCAAAATAATGTAGCTCAAACGCACACTTGATACACATATTTTATACATTTATAAAAAAAATAGTATAAAATTAAAATATTAACTATTGGAACAATTATGATGATGATATTTGTTGTAAAGAATCTTGAAAATCCAAATTAGTCAATGGATGTTTCTAAAGAATATTTGTGTTTACAAAGTCCACTCTTCCCTAGACCAATACGACACCGATTAATGCGGCTATTAACATGCACGCACATTGTGGGTCTCGCTTTCTCGATTAAGAAACTTCCATGGACCCATAGTCCAAGATTTGTCAACAAAACCCTTTCAAAAATGTCAATATCCCTAGACGTTCTTGAAATTTTCTTTTATAAATTTCAAAACGAACACTCAACTAAAAATTCGTCTAAATTGTAGGATTCTGATCTTAGTAAGATCAAAAGTCATGAGTAGAAGGACGAGGTTGATAAGACATTTAAATTCAAAAACTGTTTATGAGATTAAGAAGCTATTTTTTAATATATTTGAACATTTTTTTGAAGTATATCCTCTTATTACAAGAATTTTTAGAGAAAATTGGTCTATATAGCATCCTCATTAATCTTTTTTATATGTAGAATCTATATCTAACGAGCCCGAAATCTCATTTCTTCAAGAAAAGTGCTTGAATTTGGTCAAGTTTCGTTCCATCTTCTCCTAAATATAATAACTTTCCTAGCAGCTATTTGATCCTTATTATCTAAAAGTTTATTTTTTCTCGAATTCATTTTCAATCATATATTTCCCTAATAGAATAATTTTACATACAAATTCAAAAATTTTACTTACATTTAATCACACATTCTTCTAAAATATATTATTACAAAATTCATTTTTTGCACCAAAAAAATAAAATAAAATAAATGGAGCTCAAACAGAAGCTCGTGTTATGTTTCGAGTCTCTCGACCTAAGTGTAGGTCTGCTATTTACTTGAATATGGAAATAATTAGGTTCCTATCTAAGTAAAAAGATAAAGAAATTGAATATAGAGATGAAATTTTGTTTTAGAAAACAAAACAAATTTAATGTAAAGTAAGTCCTAACAACCTCGAAATCACTAAAAACTGAAAACATTTTGGAAAATAGTGTTTGTCCTTTTTGGCTTCCAGAATATATTGAAATCAGAATTCATTAATTTATTAATGAGTCAACAAAATTAAGAAAAATTTTAAGAAGTGAAATCCCCAAGGTTCGATCGAGGTTACCAAATGTTAGTGGAAGACATAATATTAGTTCCTAGGTTGAATGAAAAGTTGTAAAGTATTAGCATTTGTGTCATACAAAACTCCATATTTCTATGTTCAAATATTTTTAGAAAATACATTTCCATATGTTGTGCTATGTTGTTTCACATTTTCGGTTTTCTATTACTTTCTTGTATAACATGAATCGATTAACCTGATTAACATGTCTTTTCATTTAATTATCCAAACTGTGATACTGTGTTGTCGAAGAAATCCAATAGCCAAGTGGCTTGATTGGTGTATTTTTCCAATTCGAAAGAGCTTTTGGTTTAAATGTAGTGTGTTTTCCCTTGTTAATGTAATTGTTTGGTTAATTATTTCTTTAAAAATTCTTCACCGTGCTAGATGCTCATGACCTTTTAAATTCATGATCTCAAATGTACAGATATTGAGGGTTGAGGATTAGAGGGTGTTTAAGCCACATTATTTTGGTAACAATGCATTCTTGAATAGTGTATTGATGGAAAATGTGGTTAAAAAATAAGGAATTTTTTTTATTTGCGTGTAATATTATTTTATTGAAAAATGTGTGGTTGAAATAATGTCAAATCACTGTTTAAGAATGTATTTTTTTTTTTTTTTGAAATAATATGACTCAAACAGGCACTAAATACTAAATAAAGTAAAAATGGAATTCAAATAGCATTACTCTTTTGCTTTGGCTCAAATATTAATGTATCAATCCATAAGCTCATAAATATTTATTTTACCAAATCTAAATTTTAAATAAATTTTATTATCAGTAAATATTTTCTTTGCTATAAAGTAAGTGTCAATTTAATTTTTTATTATTATTTAAAAAAAAAAAGTAATTTAAGTACAACCAAACTTGCTACATTTATAACAACCATAAAACCTCTACACTACACAGATTTCAAGCAAAGAGAAGATCCAGTTTCCATCAACACCTTGATCCTGTAATTTAATTTGGATTGTACAATGAATCCATTAAACTTAAAAGAGAGAAAGAATGTAAAATCCTTTTTTTTTTTTTTTTTTAACGAGGTGTCCCAGCTTGCGCCAGACTATATCCTCGTCTCTGAACCTCCGGCCCCTCAGCTGCTCAGGGAGGTAAATCGCAGGATGTGCCATTGTTGGTTCCCACATGACTTTTACTCCTTCCCCAAAGGGAGCCTCCTTCATGGTGATTAATCCACCAATAATTCCTCCTTTATTGGATCAAAGGTTCCCACCAGGAATCGAACTCCCCACGCTTGGTTTCAGAACCCCCCAATATGATTGTTCCGCCAACTTGGATGTGCCCTGAGGGGGCAAGAAAGAATGTAAAATCTTATTTACATGACAAGTCATGTCTAGTCCAATCGAACAAGGCCTTTGATAGAGTGAAAATCCAATACCTCATATAACTAGTGAGGTGAACGTACACTGCACATTAGTTAGTTAATGTTAAAAATAAATGTGTGTAAATTTCTAGAAATTTATTTGTGAACGTGAAAGATATTAATAAACTGTTACAAAAAAAACATGTGTCCTTTATAAAAAAAAAAAAAAAAAGATATATATGATTGAGGTAAAAACTAAAAGAAATCAACGAAAAAACAATTTATTACTACGTTATAAAAAAAATTATATTAAATTCAATAATAAACACAATCAATACTAAGGTTGTTATTATTTACCTAGTTGGGATCCTCTTTGAAGTTCTACTTTCCAACCGACCGATTGTTATTTATTGAGGATAGCACTTTTATATTGACGAAAAGCTGTGAAATTGGAATATAAGCGTCTAGCACTATCCGAAACAAATTGTAGAAAGCATACTGGGCAATCTCTACTGTAATGAAATTGATTATTGAGACATGCATCAGTACTGCTCCAAACCTCAATTGCCCACCAACCCAAAAAAAAAAAATTAAAAAAAAAAATAAAATGAGAAGACACAAGGGAATGAGGATAGCTGTTTTGTCATATACAAAAGCAAAGTTTCGCCATTGTAAATGAAACCATTATTTAACTTCTACTTAAGAGTTACAGTTTCAATTGAATATGGTACGCACTATCTACATAATCTTCCATAAATAGATAATTTGTATCTGGACGCTGTCAACAAGAAACAAACAATATTAGTATAGGAACTTCTAAATACCAATTCACTACAGACAAAGCTAGCTAAGTTTAAAAAGAGAGACAAGATCGACAACATTTATAATTTCTAATCAAATTCTCTAAGAAAAAATCTTGCCAAAGCCTGGCATATATTCAAATAAATCATCCGAGTTACTAAATGGTATGGATGCATGAGATGAACCTCTCATTATCAATTTCACTGTGATACCATTTGAAGAACAATTCTTCTTTTTCTGACCAACATCCCTAAACCCAAAGTTGCAACTCCATGCTGCATGATTTGGGGGAGAGGTTAAGCCACAGGAAGTCTAAAGGTTGAACCCCAACCTTGAGGGCTCCCACTGTCCGTCCCTAAAGTTTTGTGAGGGAGGTAAATCGTGGGATGTGCCTCAACAGATTAGGGAACAAGAGCTGCTTGTACACTGCACCTACAAAGAGTCCAATTTCATATATCAGGAATCGAACCCCCACACTGCGGCTGCCAGCAAAGCGTGAAATAACCTCACTCCTGTCCTTTGCACCACTAGGCTATGTCCCGAGGGATGAAAGCCACAAGAAGTCTGATTTTTTGCCTTCCTTGCGCCTAGTCTACTGGTTGAATATAGGTTGTAAGTATAAGTATTATGCCCTAAGTCCAATCAACTTTGGACATAAATTCTTTTGATATATAATTATGCAATTT